AAATGACAGAATCAAGAATCTTTAATCAAGTTTACACCAAATTCTTATAATGGTATATACAGCGCTGGTCAAAAGGTTGGAAATATTACTATTTTTAAAGTCTCTTATGCTCATCAAGCCTGCATGCCTATTTGAAATTGAAGAAAAAAAAACAGGAAAATTAAATATTATTACAGATGCAAAGCTGAATTTTCAGCAACATGATCCTTCAGAAATCATTATAACGTGCTGATTCATTATCTATCTTGAACACAGTTAATACTTTTTTTCAGGATTCATTGACGTATGATACTGTATGACCGGTACATGTGGTAGGTATGTCAACTGAATGTCATTCATATTGATGTAAAATCAAACCAGATCAGCTTAATCAAAAACAGGGGCCACTTCTGATAAATATGAATCTTTCATAGATGTGAATGCAGCGCCCACTGCTGGAGCTCTTGATTAAAGTTGATCGTTTCATTCAAGTGACACACAGAACACACACACATGAACTACTAAAATGTATTAGCTTGTATTTTACATTTAGTAAGGGTTTAGTAACTCCCCAATTTCTGGATGCATTTCATCCAAGCAAAATGTAGAAGCCTACATCTTCACTGCTTCCACTTTTCTTTCGTTTTTTTTTAACTTACAGTATAGTCTACACTGTTAGATGACACAATTTCACTGTTGACCCCAAATCAAACCCAAATCCAGGATAGAGCGGTTGAGTGAATGTGGTCTGAAATGTGTGGATGAGGGTCATAGTGTCAGAGACGCTGTAGAAGGACAGAGTTCCTGCACTGTGATCCACATACACTCCGATTTTAGACGATCTGGGAGACACGGGGACGGGGAGCTCGGTTTCAATGTTGCTGTGCCTGAACAAGTAACTGGAGGGAGAGCAGAACAAACCCCAGGATTGATTATTAAATCCAAATACAAACTCACTGTTCCCTCCCTTCCTGCCAATGCTCTTATACGACACTGCTATAAAAACACCTTTACTCCCACTCCACTCAACCTCCCAATAACCACGTCCACACACATTCTCTTTACACAACACCTGCAAGCAACAATCAAATCTGTCTGGATGTGCAGGATAGCGATGAGGTGTCTTCGTATAAGTAGCCACACTGTTGTCTTTAAATAGGAGGAGGAAACGATTTGCTGTGTTTGAATCCAGAGTGAGCTGAAGGGAATCTGATGGAGATAAAACACTTGTTAGCGTGTGAATGCATGCATGTTTCTAATGAGTGAATCTGTTTCATGTATTTACAATAACATTAATATTACATGTGATGTGCATGATTACAGGGCTCTGTGTGTGTGTGTGTGTGTGTACATTTTAAAATGCCTTACACTGAAGAAACTGTTCCCTGGTCTTGGGTTCATTAGTGGGAGTTTCAATGCATGTTACTATGGAAATAAACAGACATAATTTCAATTTCTTTTTTGATTCTTCTACATGTTTCATGATGCCAGACTTATTTTTGAGAGTAAATGAATGTGCTGCTGCAGGTACTATACCTCCATTAAAGAGCTTTTCTACCTCTTCTGTACAGAAACCCTCTAGTTTGTCCTTCAGTTGAGAGATTGACTTTGTCACGTCTTGAAAAGAGAGAGAACTCACAGTGACGCTGTGTAAGTCTGCAGATTCAGGAGGTGCAGCGATGTACTGAAACCTCTACAGAAAAAAAAGTACAATAAAGATACAAAAGAATAGATTCCTAGAGTAAACTTGATATCCAATCAGCAGCAGATTATACCATCAAATCAAGGCTTTCCTGACTGGGCTACCCTTGCCCATTCATCTGCAAACTATTACAATCTTCTTGCTGAACCTGTCTGTGATTATTTTTTTAGGCTTAACACAGTACTGAGAGAGTTCATGACAACATTGGACCTTGAAGCTCTTCTTAAATACATACTGTACCTTCGGCAGTGGGAACTGGCGGCCCATTCATACTTAGATTTATATGCTCTGAAAGATGGCCAGAATTCAGAGGTTACTGGATTTTACACTGGCTAAATGGGTGTTCTTCCTTTCCCTCAGAAAATTAGATGTTACACTGGCTAACTGGATGTTTTGTCTTTCCCTCATAAAACTTAATGTTACACTGGATAACTGGATGTTCTTTCTTTCCCTCAGAAAACTGAATGTTACAATGGCTGACTGGATGTTTTGTCTTTCCCTCAGAAAACCAAGGACAGCTAACTGGATGTTACACTGGCTAACTGGATGTTATTTCTTTCCCTCAGAAAACCAAGGTTACACCTGCTAACTGGACATACTTTTCAAAACAACTCTAAGGGGAAAAGACTTAAACATGCTCTGAATTGCCCCTTCTGCAACTAACTTTCAGTTAGCCTTGAATATTCCTCCCCAAGTGATTCCGATAACACAGCCCCTGCTTGTCTAGCTAAATAAGCTATATTTGGTGAAGTGATATCGTGGTAGTACTTCACAAAAGTATGTGTTAAAACTTTGATGATGCAGTGTGACAAAAGAGAAGTCACATGAGGGTGGAATTGCCCATAGAGTAGTCTGTTTTAGGTGACTTGACTGCATGAAAACCTAGTTTAATTTAACTTAACCTTGAAACAGTAATGAGGGTCTGTAGTGAAGAGGTGTATTGAAGTGAATTGCCTTTTTAAAGGAGTAGTTCACTTTAAAAAAAATTTTTTTGCTGATAATTTACTCACCCCCATTGTCATCCATGATGTCCATGTCTTTCTTTCTTCAGTCGAAAAGAAATTAAGGTTTTTGATGAAAACATTCCAGGGTTTTCTCCATATAATGGACTTCAATGGGAACCAAACGGTACAAGGTCCAAAAGACAGTTTCAGTGCAGCTTCAAAGGGCTTTAAACGATTACAGACGACGAATAAGGGTCTTATCAAGCGAAAAGATCGGTCATTTAAAAAATAAATAAAAAAGTTTAAGTTTTATAAGCACAAATGCTCGCCTTGCTCTGTTCTGTGATGAGCGTTCGTGACTCTCCTGTTCGAACTCGTTCATTAAAACGAACAAATCTTTTTTCGAGTCATGACTCGAAGGGTCCTAGATAAGACCCTTATTCATTGTCTGGTGTCGTTTAAAGCCCTTTGAAGCTGCACTGAAACTCTCATTTGGACCTTGAACCGTTTGGTTCCCAATGAAGTCCATTATATGGAGAAAATCCTGGAATATTTTCATCAAAAACCTAAATTTCTTTTCAATTGGAGAAAGAAAGACATGGACATCTTGGATGACATGGGGGAGAGTAAATTATCAGCAAGTTTTTTTTAAAAGTGAACTACTCCTTTAATGTACTTTGAACAAATAAAGGACACATACTAGCTATTATGTCATTGGGTTACCTGCAGGAAATAGACGTGGTCATCTGTGTGTGAAAGCTGCTCCAGCTCAGCATCTCTTCTCTTCAGATCATCAATCTCCTGCTCTAGTTGCTGCAAGAGTCCTTCAGCTCGAGTCACTGCAGCCTTTTCCTGATCTCTGATCAGCCTTGTCACCTCAGAGCGTCTTCTCTCAATGGAGCGGATGAGCTCAGTAAAGATCCTCTCGCTCTCATCCACTGCTCCCTGCGCAGAGAGCTGTCAAGACACAGATCACAATAAACTCTTACTGCTGCCTCACACAGCTTGAGACCCAAGAGTAGCTTTAGTACAGCTGAAAGTGTCCTTAAAGGGTAACTAAACCCTAAAAACAACTTTTTTAGTTAATGATCTGAGTGCTGCCCACTTCAGGTGGAACGGTGAAGTTGAATTTTCCTATTGGAAGTTGTGGTGCCCTGTGACGTAAGCAGGCACCAGCCCACCACGCCCTTGCCTACATTTTTCAAATATTGTCAGTGAGTGGAGCCAGGGGTTTAGTTACCCTTTAAACTCTCAAAACTTACCTTATGAGACTTCACAGCATCCCTAAGTTCTCGCAGCTGCTTCTGTCTCTCCTGGATTCCCTGCTGGAACTTTCTCTGTGTTTCTCCCAAACGCCTCTGAAGGGAAAACAAAAAAGCTGTAAAAGCTCAGAAATATTACATAAAACTGCAGTAATCACAACACTGTGGTATTAGCATTTATTATTGTTGTTAGCATTAGCACACTGATTTCCACTCATACCTGTTTCTCTGTCCTCTCAGTTTCAGCCGTTACAGTGTCGTGGATTTTATGTTTGTCCATCAAACACGGATAACAAATGCACTGCTGGTCAGTACGACAGTAGATTTCCAGCTGTTTGTTGTGTTTTGGGCAGAGCATCTCTTGGAGTCGTCCAGTGGGATCCATGAGATTGTGTCTTCTGTCTTTAAAGAAACTCTCATGTTGTTCAAGATGACTTTGACAGTAAGAGTTCAGACACTCGACACAGGATTTGACGGCTTTGTATTTTCTTTCAGTACAGACGTCACACCCAACATCTCCAGGTCCAGCATAGCTTTGGGGAGGACAGGCTGTTTGTAAATGTGTCTTCTTTAGTTTCTCTATCATCTCAGCAATCATAACATTCTTACATAAAGCAGGTCTAGGAGTGAAGTTTTGTCTGCACTGAGGACAGCTGTAGATTAGCTTCTGATCCTCCTGATCCCAGCAGTCTGTAATACAGCTCATACAGTAACTGTGTCCACAGGGAATGGTCACTGGATTCTTCAGTACATCCAGACAAACTGGACAGCTGAACTGGTCCTGAGAAAAACTTGCTTCTGCCATTTTGCTATAGGCTACACCCAAATAGAGACATGCATGCCCCAGCTTGATAAATCTTAAGTTTCAGTTTCCACAGCTGACATTCTAAAGTATTTCCTGGTTATGTTTTTCACGTGGTTATGCGTGTTTTTCCTATTATCACATCCAACTATGGCAAAGGCATTGGTTATGATTATTAATCATTTATCTGCCGATGTTGCTTGGTTACCCTGCTCAAGCTTTCAGGCACGTCACCTTTATTCATAACAAGCCAAGCTTTCCCCATAGTAGGATTCGTAAATTCGTGACGCATTACGTGGCAAAGAGGTCGTAGGCTAAGGCTAGTGCGTGAAAATGCTAACCGGAAAAGAGTGGATTCAGCAATGTCTAACCGATAAACGTTGTTAAAATAAACATATCACGTTGTCTTCCGACGGTGTGTATGTGTACAACATTAAACAAATAAATGCAGTTAATTATGATCACTCACAACAATTAAATTCTTTAAAAACTAGTGAGCGCGTTAATTAGCCACTAGACAGTTAGCAGCAGGGAGCACATCAGTGTAACTACAGCTGTATGTTGGTTACCAACGCGACTTACAGTGGATAAATGGAAATATTTTTAGCCGGATGAGGCTGTAATTTGAGTCCGACACATTTGTTGCAATCGAGGTGCAGACAGATTGAGTAAATTAAACGGGTAAATATCCAAGATTTTTGCACTGCATGCTTTCCAGTATTAACGTTACTGTTTCGACAAACGTACTGATTTCATTTTTGAAATGTAAACAACAACTTCACTTTCACTTAGGTCCACGATACTGTTGATTTTAAAATGTAAGCTAATGTCAATTATCAATTCCTACCAATATGGAAAACATGAAAACGTGTAGCCTACACGACGTATTTGTTATATTATTATATAAATATAAACCATTCGAGGCGATTTTGCTACAATAATCTGAAACCCCATTCGATATAATGATTTTAGTATCATTGAGGTTATTCGAGATTTTATTAACCAATCCAATCTCTATACTGCCATAATTTATCTTTGCAGTGTAGATTTGTTCTATCCTGATCAAAACATTAGTAAATTTTGAGTATGGTGGATAATTTATTGTGGTTCTGTGCTTGTCTATAGGTGAATGAGTGAGACTGACTTCATCTCTGCTGATATGGCAGAGATAAACCGTATCCATTATGAGCTAGAATATACAGAGGGCATCAGTCAACAGATGCGGATCCCAGACAGGCTAAAGATATCCTCCAGCTCATCAGAGGAACCGTCTGGTCCCCTTCTCGATGCATCCCACAGTACTATGATGCATGTGCCTGAAAGGATTGTAATTGCAGGTATTAGCAAAGTCATGGTGTGGGTTTGAAGTAAATGAAATGTTAAAGAAAGCAACAGCCAACTAATGCCCATTTTTAACTTATCAAGGAGATGGCAATGACGCCCGCTTCGAGAGACCCAGAGATCTGGATTTGATCCAGTCTACGCCACTTGAGAGTGAGACGGTTGAACTGAAGACCCCACCACGGGTTCTTACTCTCAATGATCAACCTCTGGACTTCCTCGAGCCAGAGCCAGCAGGCAACTCCACTGCCCAGCCAAGAGATGAGGTAACGAAAATGAATCAGGAAAATGAAAAACATTGAATAATGCTATCATTTTTATATTCTGAAATTGCGAGCTGTTGTCCCTCTCGTCACAGATGCGATCTCACTTTAGGTCAAAAAGGGAGCGCTGTAGGAGTGAGAACTCAACAATGCATCGCAATGGACAGATAAACAAACATGATTTGTGAGTAAAAATACACTAACCCATATATACACATACACACATACATATTTCAGTTAATATGAGGGCATAAACCCTGCATGCATAATAATTATAAAAATAAATGTGGCAATAAAATAGTAGGATTTGGTTTTCCACTGTTTTATAATTGTGACTATTTTATATAAATGTTTTCAAATCAAGCTGCACATACTGTTACTTCTACTTTGTTTATTTCTTTTTAGAAAAGTTATGTAGACCCATTTAGACATTTTTTAGTTTTTATAACACACACTTATGTTGTCTGCAAGCAGATAGGCATTACGTGTCCATGTGTGATTCATGCGTCACGATCACATCTCTCTCTGTTAGTGCAAGCCCGTCTCCATCCCGTGTTCCTGTCCGTACTTGTCCCCCTCTCATCAGCCCTGAGGACAGTCAAAACTTAAATAGTGCCACTGGTGTCCTTGCCTACATCAAAAGCACGACTCGCAGGGCCTACCAACAGGTCCTGGAGGTGTTGGACGACAGCCACCGCAGGTGGGCTCTTCCCAAATGATGCATCTCTTTTAATTGTGCATATGTAAAGCATAAATGTGTGTGTGAATAGTAGATAAGAGTCAAATGCATGCTTATTAAATGTGCAGTAAGTGATTTCTGAGAAAAGCTGTTGAAAGGGGATCGAACCGAGCACCACAACACACTTGTAGCCAATCAGCAGTGGGGGTGTGTTTCTCAGAAATCACTTACTGCACCTTTAAGCTATTTATATTCATCATTATTTAAATATATTTTTAACGGAATTAAAAAAAAAACAGTTTCTAATCAAATGTTTGTGTTTGTGTGTGTAGTCGGACAGCTCTTGTGACTTTTGATCTAGGTCTGGAGAACACTGCTGATGATGCTGTCTTAACAGACGCTGCCTCACTGCGACGACAGGTAATGTCTAAAGGCCCGTACTCACCGGGACGAATATCAGGGCGAGTTATTCGCCAGCGTTTTCCAACACGTTTTTTTGTGTTCACATCCAAGCGATTTTTGCTGACGATGAGCTGAGTGTACATGCAATTTCATTTCCTGACATTATATGGCACTTAATGTAACGATATCTTGCCTTGCATCTTCCTCGTCTTCCGGCAGTGTAGACGGTGGCGTATATCTTCTTCGCCGTTACATATGTGTACTCGGTAAGACCGTTTTGTGTTTTGGCGGTGTGCACACTCACATTGGCACCCTTTGTTTAGTCACGACTCGAGGCGTTAAACGTCGGCGAATCTTTCCATGGTGGAAGATTCAATATATCTCTGAGTGAAACTGCGTATGAAACAAGACAAAAATGTAGGACCGGGCATTGATTTCTTCATCAGGAATTGATTGGATGGTTGTGGTGGTTGCCATTGCTGTGATGTCATGTGAGTGACAGATTGTCCCGCCCTCGCGACAGTAATCGCATCATCAGAGAAGACGTTGCTTATTGTGTGCTTTTGAAAATCTTCCAAAATGTATAATTATGATCATTTATTAATCTGTTGTCAACGAAAGAAAAGCTTTAAGGTCTCCCTGCGTCTTATCCGCCAAAAATAAAAAAACGCTATTTTAGTCAAATATTTTTATTTTATTTTACGGTACAGTAGTGTTATTGTAATTTTCCTTCTCAGTTTTCATCCTTAACTGATCACATGCATGATTAATCATGTGTTTTGATTTACTGAACAGATCATCAAGCTGAATCGAAGACTGCAGCTACTGGAGCACGAGAATAAAGAGCGAGCCAAGCGGGAAATGGTCATGTACTCCCTCACTGTTGCGTTCTGGCTGGTCAACTCCTGGATCTGGCTCCGTCGCTAAACACCCCTCTTCTCCACTCATCCTTAGAGGGTCTAACAAAATAAAAGACAGTTAAGTCACATTGTATATTAGGTATTTTCTCATTCACAGACTTGTCTGTTAGTTAAGGGTCGATATAATAATATAACAGTTGCACTACTTTCAATAACAGGTCTAATTATGCTCTAAGAAATGTGGTTATTTTTAATTTTTTGCATTTCCGATTGTATACTGTTTTTGTAATTGTTCTGTATGAATAGTTTGATGGTCCAGTGCAACGTGATGTAAAGATGTAAATGTTCGTAATATTTCATTAGACATTCCATTTTTGTGAATGCATGAACGTTTGTACTCATTTTTCAGTTTTTCAGTCATTATTTGTGCAAGAACATATTTAAAGTTGTGGGATCACCAAAGAATTAAAGTGTAAAATGCATAAATTGTATTGCTTGTCACTGAATTTCAGACACTTGATCATGATTTTTATTCATTATATATAATCTTATTAATATCTGAGCAAAAGCGCCACACTTGTTTTAAAGCAAATAAATAATAGCTCCACCTTTTCTTAAACAAAATATCTATAACAGTTGCTGATACTCAGTATAAAAAAAACGTACGGTATATTAAATATCACAGTTTGCTTGAAGAAGAAAAAAATCTGTTTTCTGAATTAACTAGTTAATTAACTCAAGAATTACGAGATAATTTTTCATGGAAAAAACGTTTTTGCTCTGAAGCATAGACTGTGTTCTGAAGCAGTAGAGGGCGCTCTCTCGTTCTGAACACGTTTCTGACTGTGTTATCTCCTGACCTGGAAGAAAAATTAAGTGTGAGATGGGAAGTCCGGTTCTTTTCCGCGAACCGGTTCTTTCGGACACTTCGTTTAAATGAACCGGTTCATCTGTTCTTTTACCTCCTCACGTAATGACGTCAATTATATCATCCCGGCGGATAAAAGTACATTCAGTCAAAGACATTTGTAATCATAACGTCAGTTAAATAATAGTAATCATTGCCATAATCAACTTGGATAAGTTTCTTACATTTACGCTTTGCAAATGATCCTGTACAGTCGAGGCGATGAGCAAACGCGGATGGTTTAGCACTACATGTCTAAATGATAGCCCATTACGTGAATAGTGTCCGTTTTATTTTATTTTCTATTAAATAAACTTACATTTCACTGAATTTGGCCCTCGGTTCGCCTGTGCTCAAACATCCACTCGGTCGAAAAAAAGTTCGGTTTAGAGACGGTCCTATCGCGCATGCGCAGTATCTCCAGCTCATCGGTTCCCGATTCAGTCCTATTTTGTACTGGTTCGACCGGTTCACTAAAAAGAACCGGTTCAAAAGAACGATTCGTTCACGAACCGGACATCACAGTGGGTTCGGCCCTGCTTGGCACAGCAGTGGACGTGGAACAGTCAGTGTATTAAGTTACTTGCTGACAGTCAGTGATGGATCCGTAAGTGTGAGAACGCAGACATCTGTACTAAGACTGCGGCGGATTGATGAAGGAAGCTCTCGCTCGACCCTGGACTCAGCCGGTGAAATAAATAAGTAACTTTTGGATTAGCATTTTGATCGCTTGTGTTATAATTGTGTTCAAATCAGGGTGCAAATGTTCACCTTGGAGGAGGACGTCTAGTACAGTTGTCCTGTTCTCATAGCTTCGCTCGCTCGGTCGTTTTCGCGATGTCTCCGATGGGCATCCGACTGTCGCCGCTCGGCATAGCCGTGTTCTGCATACTGGGAGTCGGTGTGATCTATCACCTATACGCGGGAGTTTTGTCCAGCAGATTCCCCTCGTTCAGACAGAAGACGACCGTGGATCTGCGAGACCTGCTCGCGCTGTCCATGGATGCTGCGGTGCAGGGCGGACGGGAGGTGAAGAGGATCAGGGAGGACAACACGCTGGAGGAGAAGTCAAAGGGCGAAACTAAAGAAGGTGCCAGTGAAAAGCTCACGCTGGGTGATCTGAACTCCCACCGAAAGATGTTCTACCTGATCAAGAACACCTACCCCAATATACAGGTAACGTTAACGTTACAGAGTTAATAAAGTCATTGTATTTATAATATGTAACGTTAAGGGATAATATCGAGCGGGACTTATTACATTGCTACCTACCAAATTAATCAATAATTTGACACAACATTTTGTTGATTTAAAGGAGTTCATTTATCCTCCGGAGTTAACAGAACTGTGTCCATGGCAACGGTGTTAAACTCAGCACTAGCAGAGGTCTGTCACCAAGAAATAACAGGCTGCATTCTACATAAGAATTCAACCAAGCCATGTAATAAAAATGATTTATCCGTGCACGCAGTATTATTTTTTTTTATATGTATTTCATGTTGCACTCGTGATCGTTAACCAAAATAAATTCACCTCCATTACTGGCGTGAGGACGTCCTGTCACCCTCATCTAACCAGCCAATCAATACGCACAACCGGCACATCCGGAAACTTAACTGTCAATTTTGTCCCCGCCCCCTTTTGGGAGAAAACCAAACAAACTAGACTCCTCATTTTGCTGTGTCCGAAATCACCCATTACTCATTATATAGTGGACTATATAGTGAGCTCGCCATTTTGTAGCGCTGTAATGTATATATGATGATTATTTTACCCTATATAGTCCACTCAATGTATCCCAGAATGCATTTTGAAAAGTAGTGTACAAACGATGGTCACTAACCTAAGCCCTACCATTGCGCTGATTGTAAAAATAAGTTATAATCATGTGTGGAGTAGCCCATTATAACAAAAACGGCCAGAAATGACTTTTAGTTATTACATTTTGGAAAATTAAGCTCAATATAATGTAATATGTTTATTTTAAAAAATCTATTTAGCCCAGAGCCGGCTCGGCACCAGCTGACAGATGATGCGCCGAGAGACGATCGAGTAGTGTCCGAAAGTGGTGTTTCTATTATGCTGGTGAGCTCACTATATAGTGCTCTACACTCTACCATAGATATGTAAATAAAGGCTAGATATGCCATCTACGCTGCTGGCCAATGGTGGTCGACGTCTGCACCTGTCGGCCATCTTGTCACAGGCAGCTCGCTCACTCGTAACATTGTGTTAATGGTACATGTACTATTTAAATGACCATAACTTGCTCAATTTTCTACCGATTTTCAAACGGTTTGTTTTGTTATAAATGTCAGAGATGTAGTTATGACACTGCATACTTATGAATAAAAAGTGTATAAATAAATAATCATCCAGATAATTATAGCCACGTTAACGTTTGTAAGAAACCAAACCATTTGTAAATCCGTCAAGATTTCAACGAGATAAGAGTATTTGTGTTCGTGCTGACCACTCATCTTACATCAGCTTGTCTGTAACAAGATGGCCGCCGGTGATGACGATGGAAACTCCGCCGTAACACATCTAGCCTTTATATACATATCTATGCTCTCTATCCCCTACATAGGGGGTAGGGAGTAGTGCTTTGAGTGGAGATTTCGGACATGTTTCCCCCAAAAGGGGGCGTGGACAAAATTGACAGTTAAGTTCCCGCATGTGCTGGTTGCGCGTATTCACAATTTACAGAAGCAAGTTCCGCCCGACATTTTTTCTTGTTTGAAAAGCCGCTTCACTCACATATGCCACTCTATGGAAGAACAATATAACTTCTGTTTAAAGCCGAGAAATAAGCATGCAGCCATCTTTAGAATTTTGTATTTTAACTTCTGTTTTTGAGGTAGCTCTGTGGTATATTTCAATGGCGTCGCTGTCGAAGACTAATTAGCTTATTACTTGTTGTAGAGTTAAAGAAAGTTATCATGCGCATTGTAATGCTTGTCTAGGTGCGGATGTCTAGGTTAAGCAACAGAAACGGCTGCGTAAATGTTCTTCAAAGTGTGGTTTTCTTTTCTGTTTGCAGGTAAACTCAGAAGAACATGCGAACGCAGAGGGTGAGGCCACTTTGTGGACGCGCGTCATCCCTGAAGAAATTCTGGCCAAGATCCCTGGGGAGAAGGAGGTTCCTGCAGAAAAGATCACAGTGTGGATTGATCCATTGGACGCCACTCAGGAATACACAGGTCTGGTGCAACTCTTTATTTATAAATCACCATAAATCAGTCACCTTTGAACTGCCGGAATTTTAGGAGGAATAATATTATATATCTTCAATGAGTAGGTCAGCCTTTCTCAAAGTGGGTGCCGCGGCACACTGGGGTGCCCCCTGACTGTGTCAGGGGTGCCGCCAAAAAATTACGTAGGCTAAAAAAATATATATATATATATATATATATATAATAAACATATTTGAATTTACATATTTACATTCTTCTTTTTAAACATATGAACGTACATAAATTGTAAATTCATTTTAGATAAATATATAAAATGAAGCATAAACATCCGTCTCACAAGACCGAAGCAAGACACAAACACAACTTGACGCAAGTGACGGAATCCATAGCAACGCGTTATAGCAACAACACCTCAGACTGACAGAAACGTAAAAATAAACGTGAATTTAGGCCACTTCAGTTACAGCATCATGGATCGTTTTTTGAAAAGAAAATCCCCACAAGAACCGGACAGTTTTTCTGTGAAATGGAGCCTCAGCCTACTACTTCCTCCTCCAGCTCTGAATCGGCACCAAAGGTCGCAAAGGTAACGTTAGACAAGGCTAAAATGAGAACATACAACGACAGTTAGGCTACCTAAAATTTGGCTTCATCAGTGGTACTGGGGATGCAACATGCCCTCTCCGTTTGTGTCTAACTTAAGACACCTGACCGTCTCTCATCCATCCCTGCCTAGATAGGGCGGCTGTGTGCATCGCACCAGGCTCACGTCTGGTCACCCCCACCGCCGGCTTGTGTGAGCGCGTATGCGCGCTGCATGCACGCATGTAGATCTTTCTCCCTCTCTCGTTGTGGATTATTGTTTGTGTGTGTGGGTGTATGTGTATGTGGGTGTGTGTGCATGCGCATGGCACGGATGAAAACAAGCACTATATGGAAAAACATTCTTGCTTATCTCTGGTGCATTTTTTTAACATGCATATTTTTCTTATCGCATTGTATATATATATATATATATATATATATATTTTTATATATATATATATAAAGCAATATATATATATATATATATATATATATATATTAATGTCTGCCACTTTTTATTTTATTTTAACTGCATCCTGCACTTCATTTGAGTTCTCCTGGTCTGGATTTGTTATTGGGTTCTTGTATTGGGTGGCCCACCTCTTACGGTTTTATGGCATTTGTGTCTCTGATTAGTTATTTTGTGAATTACTTTGCAAACCTGTGTTTTTAAAGTTTTTATTATTATTGTTATTTACAGTTCATATTATGCTCTGTTCATTGCTGTTCTGTCTAACTAAACAAGACATTTGCATTTACATTTGGGTTATGCAGTGTTTTTAAATGATATTTTACACTGGGGTGCCTTGAGATTTTATGCACTTTTGAAAGGTGCCCTGACTGAAAAAAGTTTGAGAAAGGCTGGAGTAGGTTATCTATACGCGAGTTGTAGTTTTATTATGCTGTTGTAGTGGGAGAAACAGTTGCATGTTCCAGCAGTCCACAAGTGCTGTATCAGGATGTAAATCCTGTTTGTGCTTTCAACAGAAAATCTCCGGAAGTATGTCACCACAATGGTGTGTGTGGCTGTGGATGGGAGTCCTGTAATAGGTGTGATCCACAAACCCTTCACTGGGTACACAGGTGTGTTTATTTGAGCTTTACAGACATTACCAGGTGACTTTGGATACAGGATCTAGGAGCCATTTTGGGAATGCTGAGGAATGAGCAATTTGTAGTTTTCAAAGTTCACTTTCTGCACTTTTTTAATAATCAAATATATGGTTCTTTGATAAGAACTACACAATGTGTAATGATTAATAAACAAGAAAACACATAAGTAAATGAGTTAAAGGAGGCTTCAAGATAATTTTTGTGTCTTTAATGACAATTAAAGTTGTTTATTATTGTGTATAAGGGCATTAATGATCATTATACCTAAACTGTCCTGTTCTGACTTCACTTCACAGTAGTTCACTTTAAAAAAAAAAAAAAACTTTTGCTGATAATTTACTCACCCCCATGTCATCCAAGACATCCATGTTATTCTTTCTTCAGTCAAAAAGAAATTAAGGTTTTTGATGAAAACGTTCCAGGATTTTTCTCCATATAATGGACTTCAATGGGAACCAAACGGTTCAAGGTCCAAAAGCCAGTTTCAGTGCAGCTTCAAAGGGAATAAACAACACCAGACGACGAATAAGGGTCTTATCAAGCGAAACGATCGGTCATTTAAAAAAAAAAAAAAAAAAAGTTTAAGTTTTATAAGCACATATGCTCGCCTTGCTCTGTTCTGTGATGTGCGTTTGTGACTCTCCTGTTCAAACTCGTTCATCAAAACGAACAAATCGAGTCATTTCGAGTTGTACGAGTCATTTCGTCAACGAACAAAAGGAATGAAATGACTCTGAAAAAGATTTTTTTAAGAAGAAAACAGGAGTTATGAACGCGTATCACAGCTTATATCACAGCCTCTGGTGTCGTTTAAAGCCCTTTGAAGCTGGTCAGAAACTCTCATTTGGACCTTGAACCGTTTGGTTCCCAATGAAGTCCATTATATGGAGAAAAATCCTGGAATGTTTTCATCAAAAACCTTAATTTCTTTTCGACTGAAGAAAGAAAGACATGGATATCTTGGATGACATGGGGGTAAGTAAATTATCAGGAAGTTTTTTTTTAAAAGTGAACTACTCCTTTAATGGATTCATACTGTGGTGCTCACACATGCTCTCTCTCATCATCAGCATGGGGTTTTGTTGGGGAGGGATCCAATGTGGCACCTCGTTCTTCCTACAACACAAACTCTCCTACGGTGATCGTCTCACGCTCTCACTCGGGCAAGGTGAAGAGCTTCGTTCAGGCTGCCTTTGGAAACAATACGGAAATATTACCAGCAGGGGGCGCAGGTACTGCATTCTGGGAGATCATAAAATAAATGTTTTGAAAAAATATTTGCAATAAATATGTTCACTACCATTCAAAGGTTTGGGGTCTGTAAAATTGGTTAACAAAAGATTTCTATACGTTCGATACGTTTTGTGGAAAAATGTATCCTTGCTTCCACAAAACAACTGTTTTTAACATTGATAATGATAATAATCATTAATGTTTCTTGAGCAGCAAATCAGCATATTAGAATGATTTCTAAATCATGTGGCACTGAAGACTGGACTAATGATGCTGAAAATTCAGCTTTGATCACAGGAATAAATAAATTTTTTAAATATACTCTAATAGAAAACAGTGATTTTTAAATTTAGACTCGAAAAAAGATTTGTTCATTTTGATGAACGAGTTCGAACAGGAGAGTCACGAACGCTCATCACAGAACAGAGTAAGGCGAGCATTTGAGCTTATAAAACTTAAACTTTTTTATTTATTTTTTAAATGGCCGATTGTTTCGCTAGATAAGACCCTTATTCGTCGTCTGGTGTCATTTAAAGCCCTTTGAAGCTGCACTGAAACTGTCTTTTACACCTTGAACCATTTGGTTCCCATTGAAGTCCATTATATGGAGAAAATCCTGGAATGTTTTCATCTAAAACTGTAATTTCTTTTCGACTGAAGAAAGAAAGACATGGACATTAATGTTTATATGTGAATAAAAGACCACTCAATTCATATGGATTAATCTTACGAACTTTTTGAAGCGTCAAAATGGTAGTTACGTAGACTCTCAATGGAGGGATAGATTTAATTTAAAAGATCTTCATTTGAATTCTGAAGATGAACAAAAGTCTTACGGGTTTGGAACAACATGAGGGTGATTAATAAATAGAGAATTTTCATTTTTGGGTGAAAAAACACTTTAATTACATGATCCTTGTGTTATTGTGAACGATTCAGTGGTGCATTTTATTCCAAAGTTTAAAAATGTTTGTAATGGTTCATATGAAGAGTTCAGATGCAAAAGCCTCTAAGTGCCATTTGAAATTTTCTTCTAAAATGATCATTTTTATCAAGCTTGTATATTTAAGTTCAGTAATTTCACTTAAATGGCAATGAAGAATACCTAATACCTATTGTCATTTAAGTGAAATTACTGAACTTAAATATACAAGCTTGATAAAAATGGTCATTTTAGAAGAAAATTTCAAATGGCATTTAGAGGCTTTTGCATCTGAACTCTTCATATATTTTAACCCTTTCTTGTCACCCCAAATCTTTCCACATTCCAATTAATTCCAAAATTTCATTCTACATTTTCTTTTTTCTTACTAAATATAAAATAGTTGTCAATTACTGTGACAGGAGAAATTTGCTTCAGTAACCTTTGTGTTTCCCTCTCCACAGGATACAAGGTACTGGCTCTGCTAGACTCCACCGATAAGGAACAAGAGATGGCCGATATGTACATCCACGTGACCTACATCAAAAAGTGGGATATCTGTGCAGGCGATGCCATCTTGAAGTCTCTTGGTGGTCAAATGACAACCCTGAAAGGAGAGCAGATTGATTACTCGGGGTCAGAAGGAAACAAGGACGGCCTGCTGGCCAGCATCAAAACTGACCACAAGGAATTGGTGAAAAGACTCCCTCCTTGGGAATAGAACAAACAATAATAAATCACCATGTGGTTCTGTCCTCAACACTCCCATTTTCTTCAGTTCCATACTCCAGGAAATGAGATCCGATCCAACACCTGTAGCTCAATTCAATTTGTAAAGATTACCCAAACGAGTTTGAGAAGTGTTACAGGTTTTGTACAAAGGAAGCGTGCCTTTGGCTTGTACGGATCATTAGTGTGAAACATTTAAAGAAAGTTTATGTGTAAATTAACTAAAAGTGTGAGACTCTTTTTTTTAATTAATCTCCAAGGTGAACCAGTTGCTCTATTTCTCGTTTGATTTTTGAGGATATAGTTTCTGAACTTACTGGGAAAAAACAGGTTTAAAATGTTTTTGGGTAATGATTTAACTGTGAATCCAGAGATAACTTGAATGTGACATCCTTGTGCGTAGCGAATGATTACATCGTTCCCCTTGATGCCGTTTTTCCGGTTTCTCTGTCAGATATCAATTTGTAAAGTTTATACACTGATACCTGAATTGCTGTGTGATTGGACTACATAGGTTTAAGCACCATTTGTAAATAAAATATAGTATGTTCAGATTGAAGTCTTTTGTTTCTAAGGAATGTTGGAAGAAAACTCAGCAGTCATCATTCAGATGTTGATCTTTCATAGGGTTTTTTCACTGTGATTGCCAATTAAAAAAAAAAAAACAGCAACATATTTTTGTATGAGTATTCATACTCTTTCCATGATTGTTGATTTTCTTTTGGATAGGCATGTACTGTTTACGTTCTGACAACAACATTGTGTGCATGAAAAAAATCGAAGTCTGCATGTGCCCTTTTATTTGAGGCATGTTATTTGGCATCACATTGATTGACGTCATCATTCTGCCTTTAATAAATAAATGTATATGGGTTTTACAAGGAGTGAAACTTTTTTTACGTGTTGAAGTACAGTTGTGTCATTATGTCAAACAATGCTTTAGTGAAGGGAATGTACACTCTTAGGACAAAAGCTTCAGTGTGGTTCTATTGTTAACTTAAATTTAAAGAACACTTAATGCCAAAAAGGTTCTATACAAGGAGAAAGGTCTTGCATGATTGCGTAATAGATTGTGTTTAATGGTTATTTCTTCTTTTTGTTGTTGTTAATATAGTGTAGTTAATTAAATTTAAAACTAAATCCATAAAATGATCACTGATGGGAACCACGATAATGTTTGAATAAAGAGCCTGACAGAACACTTTAAAGGGTTAATTCACCCCCAAAAATTATTTCTGTCATTAATTACTCACCCTCACGTTTTTCCAATGCCATAAGACATTCGTTCATCTTCGGAACACAAATGATATGTTTGATAAAATCCCAAATCCGAGAGCTTTCCGACACCCGTAAAGTGTCATGGACGTGGTGATCACGTGAACAGCATCAGAGAAGAAATTGTTGAATAAAAGGTTATTTTAGTTTTTTGTGTGAACAAAAAAGTGTTGCAATCTCTTGCTATTGATAAAAAGAAAACGCGTATGTAGGACGTGTTGGGCCTCTTGTGTTTCCGTAGTGGGTTTTCCGTAGTGTAAACAAAGTGTAGCGGGAAATCTGTCGGTGTGGATGAAATGAACTAACGGTGGTGGTAATGCAGCCCCGTCCGTGCGAATGCTAGTAAGCAAAGTGCCTTATTCATGCCGTGAATGTGTACCGCTGTGAACAATAAAGCCCGAACCTGTTGAAAGAAAGCCGATGACTACAGTGTGTGCTTCAGCTCTGTTAGCCGGACCACTAGCAAGTTACCTGCTACGAGCCTAGTTATAAGGATGCCAGCTCGCTCTTAACTACGGTTCGGAGCGTGAGAGCTGTGAAGGTAACACTGGGGGCTCGTCCGGGATATAACAGAAAAAAAAAGAGAAGAGCTTCGTGTTTTCGTCGGACGCAGAATGACGGCGCTCGGGGCTAGAGCTAAAGCTAGCTCGTGGACGAAGAGGCCTGTCGAGATGGAAACCCCTAACGTAAGCACCAACCCATTTCTAATGGATATAATAGACACTAATATAGACCAAGATAATCTCGGGGACGGCCGATATGCCGACAGCACTAACCCTTTTACGGCGGGCATGGAGCTGACTTTAGCCGCGGACGGAGCTATCGTTCACGGCCGGATGCCGTCTTTCAACCTAGCTTTACCCCCACACCACCGCCATCACGGTTGACTAATCCGTTCCTAATGCACGGGGAACCACAGCATACAACAGATGGTGAGTCCAAGTACTTTAATCGACAAAACTGTGACTGTTCAGTGCATACGAGGACCAGCCCCGCGGCGGTTTTACCGTATGGTTTTGAGAATAGCCCCGCCCCAGCGGTTGCCCAACGCGCCATTAATCAGCCAGCTAACGTTAATCCGTTTACTTCCATGAACAGTACGGTTCATAATACCTTCTTCCAGCCGCATGCATTGCCCTCCCATTTCACTTCAACGCCTTTTCCACTCTGCACGCCCCGGCCCGCGGAACGTTGTGGTGCTATGAGCTATGATGATAACTGTGCTTCACACCGTGATCGATACCAATACGGCCAGTCAGCTGTGGAAAGGACCAAGCCAGCCCCACGATCATCACGCACAGCACTGGATGCCGAAATAGTGGACTTTAGTGATGATGAACATTATGGATATCAAGAGAGGATTCCAATATTAAAGCCAGGCCATTTCGATGGGACGGGTTCCTGGAAAGACTTTATGTACCGGTTCGAAAGCTGTGCAAGGGCAAACCGTTGGTCGGAAACGACAATGGCAGTTCAACTGAGGTTCAGCCTGACTGGCGCGGCTGGAGCTATCGTCCATAAGAACCCCAGGTCTGACCGTTGGAGCTACCGCCGTATTGTGGCTGAGATAGAGACCGCCTACGGGCCGCGGTCCAACCATGCTGCAGCCATCGGCATTGAACTGAGGCAGAGGGTTAGGGGGCAAAATGAAGCCTTGCATTTATTAAGGGATGACATCTACGAGAAAGTGTCCATTGTGTATGCTGATCGTACCGAGCTGGAGCAGGACGCTATTAGTGTGGAGGTTTTCACCAACGCCCTGGCCGACGCTGAGGTGGTGCAGAAACTACTGGAAGCGCAGCCGCGCACCCTAGCCAGAGCATATGACATTGCACACAGCTACGAGACAACCAAGAGGGCCGCCAGAACAGTCACACAGTTCATGCAGCCTGGCCAACGTGGTCTTGCAAATCAGAGAGCCAGAGCCACTGTGGTACGTGACTGTAACAGCAGGCCGGTTTGTGTGGAGCCAGTGGGGGTTGAGGTTTGGTCTATCAACTCGCCAGAAAGGCCTCCAGGTTTTAATCAGCAGTGGCGCCAGAAGAGAGACACAAATGTCAAAATGTCAACGGGGGATGTTCAATGTCACAACTGCTCTGGTCTGGGGCATATCCAGAGAAACTGCCCTTCCCCCCGCCGACCCCGACAGCAGGGCCGGCCAGTCATCAAGAACACGGCACCTGACACAGGTAAAGTGGTCACCTGCACTGCGAGTCAGGGAGATGACATGTGTGTTGCAATAGTTATAAATGGACTGGAAATGTGTGCTCTGCTTGATTCTGGTGCGCGGAGGAATGTGTTGCCCCTCCACCTTTTTAACTCTCTTCCTGCAGAATCCAGACCCCCAATAGAGCCATCTGTTGCGCAGGTCCTGCAGGGCATCGGGCCCAGTGGTCTGGCAGTCATGGGGGAGGTTAACTTACCAGTACAAGTTGGGAGAGGGGCTATCGATGTGAACTTTATTATAGCTGACACAGCAGAGAACACCGAGGTCATCCTGGGGCACCCTTTCCTTCACCAGACAAGTGCCCAGCTGGACTATGGTCGCCGTGAGATAACCCTCTCTGGAGAAAAGGTACCTCGGTTTAACCAAAACCATCAGCCCCGGGTACACATTGTCAGAATTGCCCGCACAACAGTGTTGGAGTCGGGGTGTGAGTATGTAGTGCCTGGCACCGCCCACCTGCGCCATACTACTGAGGGAGACCTGATGCTGAGCCCAACCAAGGGTTTCATAGAAAAGCACCACGTCCTGGTGGCTCGCATCATTGTACAGGCGCAGCGGTCCACCAATGTTCCCATCAGAGTTTTCAACCTCGGTGCCTTACCTGTTACTTTGAAGAGGGGAGCTGTGGCAGGGATTCTACAGCCAGCCGCAGTGGTGGAAAGGTGGAGTCGCAGCCACCTTCGGCCTTATTAGCCTCTGAACCTATTAACTCTGTTTGTGCTTCTTTACCCAGCCACCTGCAGGCCCTTTATGACGAGAGCTGTGCTAGTCTGCCCAAGAGTGACCAGGTGAAGCTGGCCAGCCTGCTACTGTCTTACAGTGACGTTTTCTCTACGGGGCCCACTGACCTTGGACGTACTGGCCTCGTGCAGCATGATATCCTCACCACCGTGGGCCCGCCCGTGAAACAGCAACCGCGCCGGATGGCTAGAGATAAGCAGGCTGCAGCAGACCAGCAGGTGCAGCAGAGCTTGGACACTGGTGTGGCTCGACCCAGCAACAGCAGCTGGGCTGCACCAATAGTCATGGTGAGAAAGAAGGATCAGACGTTGCGATTATGTGTTGATTACAGGCCCCTAAATGAGAGAACCATCAAGGATGCTTATCCACTGCCCCGCATCCAGGACACCTTAGACACACTGTCCACAGCCAGGTACTTTAGCACGCTTGATCTAACATCAGGGTACTGGCAGGTGGAGTTGACACCGAGAGCACGAAAAGCCGCTGCATTCTGCACCCGTAAGGGCCTGTTCGAATGGAATGTGATGCCGTTTGGATTATGCAATGCGCCGGCCACATTCCAGAGGCTCATGGACCGTGTCCTGGCCGGGCTGCAGTGGGAGACCTGCTTGGTCTACCTCGATGACATCATTGTTCTGGGGCGGGACGGAACTGAAATGTTGGAGCGGCTTAGTCAAGTGTTTGACCGACTACGCGCAGCCAACCTGAAGCTTAAACCTTCAAAGTGTGTCCTGTTCCGAGAGCAAGTGGCTTACTTGGGACACATCGTCTCCGCCAAAGGTGTTGCCACCGACCCCCAAAAGATCCAAAAGGTGGCTGGGTGGCCCACACCGCAAAACGTAGCTGAAGTGCGTCAGTTTGTCGGCCTGGCTTCGTACTATCGACGCTTTGTCAAAGATTTCGCCTCCGTTGCCAAGCCCCTTCACGAGCTGACCAAAAAGTATGCACGCTTTAACTGGACGGACAAGTGCCAGGAGGCGTTTGAACAACTGAAGAGCCGGCTGACGTCAGCACCCGTGCTGGGTTATCCCCTTGACAGCGGTCAGTTGCTCCTCGACACGGATGCCAGTGATTGGGGAATTGGAGCAGTCCTTTCCCAAGTGCAAGAAGGTGAGGAGAGAGTACTCGCCTATGGGAGTAGGAGATTATCAGCCACTGAGCAAAACTACTGTACCACCAGACGAGAACTTCTGGCAGCTGTCGAGTTCACCTCTCGTTTCCGGCAGTATCTGCTAGGGAGATCGTTCATCATACGGACTGACCATAGCAGCCTACGCTGGTTGACGCGGATGAGGGAGCCTGAGGGCCAGCTTGCCCGCTGGCTGGGAAAACTGGCAGAGTACGACTTCCAGGTGATCCATCGTCCAGGGAGACATCATCAAAATGCAGACGCGCTCTCTAGAAGACCCTGTGGACCATCGTGCTCATGCAGAGTGCCAGAGCCTAGCCTCAGTAACCAGTTTCAGCACAAGGGGATTCAGTGCAACATGGCGGAGAGTTCAGTTTCAGAGGATGCTGGGGAAACTCCTGCAGAGCAACCTCCAGTGGGGGTAGTGGTGCCCGAAGCTAGCTATGGAGGCAGCCCCGCAGCCGAGCCTAAGCATCTAACAGTGGGGGTAGTGGACGCCTTCATTG